TAATATAAAAACAGATTTACTAGGAAGAACTGTACATTCCTTGATAATTAAAAAGTAGTATACAATGTAGATTAACTGGAATGTTTAAAAATTATTTTAAAAAATAATTTGCTTCTATATTCCAGTTGTCCAATCTATCAGGCACAATCCAATCAAAACTAAGCATTGTTAAATTCCATTGGTTTTAAAGTGAAAGAGTTAGATATTTTTTCATATTGAAATCAACTGGACATTACTCAGATTTTCCTATTTCATCCCCATAGTTTACAGCATGCTAGTGTAATTAAGATTACACTTACAAGAAATTCATGACCCAGGTTTTCAAGGAGTGCCACTTTAATTTCAGCCTGTGGGCTCTCCGGTGACCCAGCTAACGCAAGTTGCTTAACTAAACATGCTGAACAAACCAGCTCAGGAATCATTGAGGCTTAAGACATTTGAAAGCGCGCTAACATGGCCCTGTGGTTTAGGACATACTGCAATACGATTCGGATACCACTCCCAACCTTTACTTATCCTTCCACTCTTTGTCTGGCAATCTGCACAAACACCTCTCATTTTGTGCTCTTTTCCCCGCAAATACTTTGATCTATCCGTGATAGAACGAAGTGCTCCCTGCTCAGTTGATGCAGTGCCTGGCTTCTCCCCTTCCCAGGCAGACACCAAGCAAGGAAGATAAATATGACTAATCTCTACAGTACGTGCCAATTTTACAAATAACTGAAAGGCTGTCTGACTTGTTTTAAAGATAACCCTAAGATGGGAGAAGCCCTGAAATTGCTATCTGTAGCTAGAACGCAAACTAAGCAGTCACACCAGTCCGCTGGCAAGAGCCAAGACGTATTTTGTTTCTGTTTAAGTTTATAAATATGCATCTGGACACATAGTGCCTTCAAGTCAGTCGTGACTCCTGGAGTCTGTGCAGTTTTCTTGACAACATTTTTCAGAAAGGATTTGCCCTTGCCTTCTTCCTAGTGACTGGCCCAAAGTCAGCCAAAAGGCTTCATACTTGAGGCAGGACTAGAACTTACAGTTCCCTGATTTTTAGCCTGGTGCTCCTAACTATATAATTACCTGTAATTAGCACATACAAATGTTATGTCTCTCTCTTTATTTGCTGACGCATTTCCTCTTTCTGGGGGAAGACAGAAGAGGCTACCCTCCCATCCTTCCGGGAAAGTTCTCCCTCCCATTCTAATCCAAGGGAAATCTCTTCTGCAAGCAATGTGGGACAGGAGCTAGTGCAAGCAGGAAGAACTACAGTCTAGATCAGTGTTTCTCAACCCTGGCAACTTTAAGATATGTGGACTTCAACTCCCAGAATTCCCCAG